GGGTCTGGATCCATGCTTGTTGTGAGGCAAGTAGGACTCCAAAACAGAAGTTAGAGCAATCAGAAAGCGGTCATCTTAAGGAAGCATACTGCAAAGGCAGTGTCTGCCGCGCTCTGCATGTGTTACTCTTCCTTCTGCTGCCCCAGATTTGTCTGGGTTGAGTTTAACTTAGCATCTCTCATCTACAGGAAGATCTCAGATAAAGATCCTCTGCTGACAGTTTAAATTCTCACACTTTAATCTGTGAATATTGATATACTATATATATTTAAAAAAAAACCCAAACAACTCATCCGGCCTTGGTAGCACCTAAGTAGACTTGATTCTAGTAAAAAACATCAGTGCTAACAGAAATTCTGAATGCTATTAGGCTTCCAGATGCCCACCAGGAACTACTTCTGTGCTTTCAGTGGAAAAGATCTCAATAAATATTAGCAGCTTGTCTTGGAACCTAATGCTGCCAGTAAGTCAGGATAAAGCGTGCCAGGAAACACCTGCAGCTGTAAAGTTGAAAAAGGGAAGCAAAAGAGTGTAAATACTACTTCATTGAATGGTTTTGCCTACTGTGCTTAGCAAGGTTTGGGTGCGAACCTGTTAAACAGAGTCCATTTCCAAATATGATGGAAATGGGACTGTAACAGAATTTTCCTTGAATTTGCTCATCGGGCGCAGCACGCCTTGAGCTGTGAGGTACGGCACGTGAGGCGCGGCACGTGAGGCGCTGCTGAGCGCGGGCGGTGCGGCCCGTGCCCGCCCGGCGGCAGCCCCACGCCCGGTCACGGGGTGGCGGTGTTGCCGGCGTGTTCCTGGGCAAGTCCCACTCACACCTGGGAGCTCCTCGGTGACCAGAGCGTGGACGCCATTTTCAGCAGGCGGTGTTGAGGAGTATCTTGTTTCGCTTCATCTTGCCTCACCTTCGCAATTCACCCAGTACATGTTCAGAAATGGTGCTGCAGCGGCCGGACAGCACGGGTCTAGCCCTCCGGAGGCAGACGGGGCTGGGTGGTGGCTACAGGCACCGACACCAGCTGCCTGGGTAGAGGAGGCATGTCACGCAGGCAGCTTTGGAGGAAGGCAGGGGGTGGCAAAATGACAGGTCTTCCAGCCTTTCAGAGCAGCCTGCTGCAGGAGAGAAGAGAGGGACAGAGATGCAGCACTGGTGAAGCGCTTCAGTCCCCACATCGAGGTGTTTTGGGCGACAGGCCATAAGAAGCGCTCTCCCTGCCTGTGAGGGCAGCAGCAGGATGTGCTGCAGTGGCGTTCCTCCTCGAGCAGAGGATGGTAGCTTTCTGCTCCATACCACTCACCCCGTCTGCTCTCATCCTTTTGCCTCGTTCTGTCTGTGGTAGCACAAGGATGATTCTGAGGATTGCAGTGCTTTTCTTCAAAGCGACAATTAGCAGCTGCTGCGATTATGGTGGAGAAAAGGGGATCTACACCATCACTGCTTTCTCCCCTTCCTGTGGTAGCAGCCTTTGCTTCAAAGCACTTGGCTGTGCTAGGGCAGGCTCTCAAGTTGAATTCAGTTTACAGGAGACTCAAAAAGCTTACATGTGCAGCTATGAAATTATACTTTACTCAAGATGCTGGTTCAAACCACCACTAACTGCCCTAACGAATCAAAGCAATTTAAAATCTCCAGGTTGTGAGCACTGATCTTTGTTATACCACTGGCTGAGAATAATTACTGGAGCCGAAGCTTGCCAAGCAGCTGAGAACTGTAGTTTGGCTGGCTTAAGAACAAAGGAAAGTAATATGCAGTAGAGGTATAATTTTTTTTTTATTCTGAATGTTGTCTGAAGCAGTTCTTTACGATGTTGGATTTTCTGGTGGTTACCTTGCTTAAGGCTTAAGCACAGGCAAGGCTGATAATTGGTACAGGATTTTTTGCTTAGGATGGCCATGTCTTGCATGTATTCGTATTTCTCTCAGTGTACTGTTCAGGTACAGCTGTTGGACTTCACTGTCTGTCAGACATGTTAATGGTAGCAGGTCCTTCAGTTTTTCCACCAACTTTCGTCTTAAAAAGAAAACCACAACAGCTTAGAGAGTTGCCTCCAGCCATTTCCTGCCTAGACAGCTTTTCCAGTTGTTTTGGGATTTTTTTTAAAGGCAGCTATGTGTTTCTGTGCCCGTCTATAACCTGGTAAAAGATTGTCCTACTTTGGTCTTGGTTGGAGCTGAATTACTCCTGTTGAGTCCTTGGATCACGACATGTACGTGATACTGGGCAGTGCCTTTGTAGTGGTGCATGAAAAGCTGAATGTAAGAATTTTAAACTTCTTCCTTATTCATTGAAAACAAAGGTCATGGCTTCCCCAAGAAATCTGTTGCAACCCATATAAGATGTTTATCTCTTAAGCAGTCTGCCAAAAGAGTTCACAGTAACTCTTCACTCTTCCTCATCCCGTCAATTAATGTTGCTATGTCTTAACGTGAGCTAGCATGAAAAGAACTGCCTTAAGCACTGCTGAAAAAAAAAGCGCAATTGTGCAGATGTTGGGCGTTACAGTCTGTGAGCTTTAAGCTACCCTTTACTTCCTTTGATTTTGGCTGCCTTTTTCCCCTCAGATTTCTTAAGGAAATGACAGGATTTCTACACCTTTAAACATAAAGGCTGGAGACACATTCTTTGGTGAAGATAGCCCAAATGGAAAACGGGGGAGGGGGAACAGAGGCAGATGGATGTTAAGGTTTTCCAGACAGGTTCTTGCAAGCTCAATGAAGCCTTTTTGCTGTGCCACCGTTTCTTGCTGCATTAGTTAAGCCAAAACAGAGCTAACCCAAAACAACAGAAAGGGTTGCTCTAACAGTATTTTTAATAGCAGAAACTATATTTAAATGAACCCATAATACACGGCAAGCCCTCTTACCTCTGTTCACTCTCTTCCCGAATACCTTACTAAGAGAAGAAAGATTTAAAAAGATGTTCAGGCAGCAAAAGTATTAACTTTATATAGTTGATTTCATGAATTAGTTGATTTTAATTTCTTTTGGCAAAGGCCTTACTTTCAGTAGCTATTAAAATGGTTATCAGTTGTCGTGCTTAAAAAGTGCTTGGTTTAGTCACAGTACCTCGTCTAGCTGCACAGAAAATGCAATTTTAATGCTAAACATCACACAAGTTAAACTGGACTGAGAAACATCCTTGATAACCTGACCTATCTTAAGGGAGATAGCATGTATCACCAAAAATTCCACTTTATTTACAACTGGGATCAACTCCTGAAGAAGCAAAAATATGCAAGAGCCTCATACAGGAGCAGGCTATGGCTACAGCGACCAAGTCTCAAACACCGAACACACACATTGCCTACAAGTACTGCAGCACTGAATAGAGACACATCAATTACTATGTTTAGTCTTCTGTTGCGCTACCTTTTTAAGGCCAGATGTTGGTCTGTGTGAGAACAGGAAACACAACCACAAGAGCAGTGGGACGGGCTGCAGATTTTCGGTGTGCGAGTCTCAACCTTCCTATAGCCCTGAGGAAAGTACGTGAAATATCAGTCCTTTTACAGGTGCTACTTTCAACTACTGCATACTTACCCCTGTAAATTATGTCTTTGACTTCTAGGCTAGAAAATGTAAAGCTGAGTTTTAAAGAAATGAAACTTCTTCCTTACATTTGTTCTGCTGTACTTAAATTAATTTTTTAATTTCATATGAAGTTCTAATAATACTAACAAAAGTAATGCAAAACTATAGATCGAATTCTCACTTGTCCATTTGCTATTTGGACTCACAACATGTATTAGGTACTAAGGGTCCTCTTGCAGTCATCCCTATTTTCCAGCTTGAAACTAAAGCAACTTATTCTCAGATTATGTAGTTTATTTTTTTTAATCTAAGTTTCTGCTATACTGCATAGCTGTAGTTTTTACTGCTATCCAATATTCAGATAGAATGCTTTATTACAACCTAGGTTACTCAAGTTTGTAATCCAAAGCAGTCCTGTCACCTTGAATGTTAGTGACCAATACCCTCCTGTCCCATCCCCCACCTCAAGTTATTTTTGTCAAAATTTAATGCAAGACATGAAATAGCACTTAAACCAAGAACAGCTGTGCAAACACCTGCAACAGCTCTCACTTCCAGTATAAAATTTCAGTTTCTTCCCTGTACTGCAATTCAAGTGTTTTTAATACTGTCATGTTGAAACAAATGGATGAAGACAACAGAGCCCTACTGTGGTATTTGAAAGTAGCTCCTGCACTTAATTTTATGCTTCAGGAATTCCTGTAGTAACAAGACTCTGCCTTTTTCACCCTGTGTATGTCTCACACTGCTTCACAAACACTAGACCCACCGCCTGAAATGCGCCCACCTTCACTCAGACTAAGCATTTTGAATGGCATTACTTGCCAACAGGAAGATACTACAATAATTTTAGTCAGATATCAAGCTACTGCTACCTGCATTCCCTATTCAGGCTGCAGAGTTTGCTCTAAGCAGCTCTGGCCATCATACAAACCCATCTACCTTGAACAGAGTTTTCAACATCAAGTGCTCCCAGAAAGAACCTGCCAAAGCATCCAGCTACATACACCACAGAGGTGCTGCTGGGCTGATGCATTAAGGTGGTACAAGGACAAGACACAGAGACCTTATCTGTTAAAATTTCTATAGTTTCAAACTCTGCAAGGCCCAGGTACTCTCCCCTCCCCCCTCAGATTCAAGGTAAAAAAGGGTCAGTGAGCTGCACTGCACATTTATTGCACCAATACAGTTAAATATTAAATGGAGAAAGCAACTCTACATAGCAAACGGAAAACAGGCATTTACATAGTAAATCTGTAAGATGTACAGACGATTTAGTTTTAACCCAGTTGTCTGTACACAAATATCCCACTGCAGTTTTTGGTGTTAAAAGTTATTTCAAATGGAAAACAAAGTGAACATTTCCAGGTTCATGTATAATTGACAAGTTATTGAGAAACCAATGCAATGCTGATGGGGGTGGCAGGGAGGGCAGAACAGGACACCTCATGGTTTTTCATACCAGGAGAAATGCATTGGCCATCACTCCACCTACCAGCATGAGTAGAAATGAGCAATGCTTTCCTGAATACTTTTGATTTCCCCCACCCCCACCCCAAAGGGGCATATCCTGTTATCCTGCCAGGATAGGTATCCAAGGGGAGTTAACACTACTGAGTTAGACACTGTAACTCTAGTGATTTAGACACTGATCAGTTGGGGAAAGAGTTCATTGGCAAAGCTATCCTCCCAAGCATGGTCAGTGTCAAGTGGAGAGGACATGTCACTGAAGGGTGACAGGGATCCTTCATATCCAGAGTCACTACAGGCATCCAACAGATAGCTTGAGGCTGCAAGGCTATGATGAGAAGAAAGCAGATGAGAGATGCCCAGTTCAGGCATGAAGCTGTCTACAGGTTCTTCTTTCACAGATACTGGGACCTCAGGGATAGCTTTGTCTTCAGATGGAGATACTTCCTCAATTTTCACTAGCATATTGGTTTGGTTGCCCATTTTAACAGGAATCTCCAGTATTAGGGGCTTTGTGTACACATGATCAAACCTTATCAGTTCATTAATGGCCTCCAGCTTAGCTGATGGGGACCCCAAAGACAGAGAGGGGGAGGTTGGTATGGAATTCGTTTCTCCGCAGATATCTTCCTCCAGCTTTTCCAGGCATGTTGACTCTGAATCAGCATATTTGAGAAACATCTCTGGGTCCAGACTGTCCAGAAAGCCCAACAGGAGATCAGACTGCAGAATGAAAAACTGGTTTAGAAAGACAGCCCACTACTGTTACAGCAAAACACCAGCTGTGGCACCTACAAGCCCTCACCTGGAAGTTAAAATACACTAATGTAATCATAGAGCTAGGACTTTTACCAAGAATGCCACTGTCACAACAGACAGTTAAGGCAGTTACTTATCTTCAGAAATTCTTTGTCCATTAATTTTTGTAATGATGCTGGCAATCCCCACAGAATTCTACATGCATTTGATATTCACAGCCTGTATTAGAAACTCCTCAACATCTTGGACCCATCAGGTACAACACCGCACTACCTGCTGGCTCCACAGAGCAAGTACCAGAACCTGGCTTAGGCGGACCTCCCCATGACCAAAGTTGGGGGCTTTGGTTTGGGTTTGGTTTTTTTTGTGTTTGTTTTTTGTGGTTTTTTTCTTTCTTTTTAAAAAGGTGAAAGATGCCTGTCCTTACATTTCTAGAAGTCACTCATGAGGGAACTCATAAGTTCAAATAGCTTTGCTAAGTGCCAGCAACATCAGCAAGATGATCCAGTTTGTTTTCAACAACAGTAGAAGCACAGTATGCTTTTGGTATTTGTACACTTTTACTGGAAGAGCTAAGGGACTGCTCCAGGCAATATCCTCTAAGACTATTGAAACTGGACTTGAACAAGTTGCATCAACTCCTGTACTCACTAGGTACAGCCTAACACAGGCGTTTTGAGCCACAGGTATGGCATTCCAGGACTTGGAAAACAAGCCAACTATGGAAAGTCATCAAGCGACTTTACATCAAGAAGTTACAACACTAGTCTTAAATCCACAGTGGTTCTGAGTGTCATGGGCATTTTGGATAGGAGTGGACGCTCACCTCTGAGTCTGAAGAGTCACTGCCATCAGAATCCATGTGGAAGTTATCAGAAATGGTGACTGCTGGGCCTGCACCTGCTGCAGAGGAACACGTAGTCTGAGTGCTGCGGACTCAGCGGACCCGGTCACCACTCCAATCTCATCCACCTGTGATTCCCTCACAACCTGTGCCAGGGAAAAAAAAAAATCCAGTCAGTCACCACAAGCAATCCAGCAGACAGTACAGTACATAATCCCGAAGATCATGTAGTTCCTGCAAAGGCTTCCAACATTAGATTCTCCACTTGCTTGTGCAGTAGGAACCTGAAGGTAAGGCCACTTCCAAAGTTGGCTCAAACTGCCATATGTTCGCATTATTTTGTTCGCCACTTTTAAATGAGAGCCTGACCCCCCTCCACTATACCCCCTGTTCTTTTGAGAGGCATACATGACTGTAAGAGCTACTACTTTGTTCCTAGAACATAATGTAGAAGAGCACATGAAATAACCTTAAAACAGCTTGGAACTAGTCAGCTCGCTATCTCCCATACCACCAGTGGCACCCACTTCAAGCTCGGTATCTGTTCAGCCTGCGGGAAAGCCGCCACCGGAGCACACCAGCGCGTCTGGCACAGGACGCTTCCCTCCTCGGAGCAGGGCAGCTCCGGCCCGAGCGCCCTCCGCAGGGGGTTGCTCCTCCCCGCCCACCGCCACGCGGCCGCCCCTCGGGGCACGGCGGCTCTCGGCAGGTTCCGCCGAGGGACAGAAGCCACCAGCGCGGAACACGGCTCACCTTGGACTCGCTCTCCTCCTCTGTCTTCAGAGCATCTAAACCCAGGCGGCAGCGCAGCTCCTGGTTCTCCAGAGCAAGGTTACACGTCTTCTCCCGCAGGAGCTGGTTTTCCAGCAGCAGCTTCTGGTTCTGCGGAGAGCCGTGAAGCAGGGAGGCCGCC